ACATATACATGTATATTATCACATATATATAATATATCATGTATGCCTACATAGCAAAATCGTAACACTTCTTTAACATAAATTAAATGACAATAAACTTGGTTTTGGGTTACCTTACTGGTTCATTGCATGCCCCTTCCACCCGTTTAACGAAAACACAAATAGTTGACAGAATCATGAAATGGTGACAAGATCATTTGTCTTTTTTCCCTACAGTAACAAATTTTGGTTCTGGCAACAAGAAGATACAGTGTGATTACATAATACCGATATGACGAAATCATTTAGGAAGGGGGGGGGGGGAGCAAATTGACTCTGGTCTATCTCATAACCATCTCGTGTGCCATATTGCAAAGTGTCTCTAGCCGTCTCAGAATATCATGAACATTAATTTTGTTATTCTTGTCTACCATCTCCTTTGGTTTGCCCTTTGGAACGGCCTTTCTATTATCTCAGATTTCTTTTAGAAAGAATACGCGTGATATATTGTGATCTGTGTTGTCTATGACATGACGGGTGGTTTCACCCTGTTTTTTTCCTTTTTTTGTGAGAAAAGTGAGATACCGGTAACAACGTGGAGTTAGTGCCAGAACCTGATTCGTTGACACGGAGATCCGCTCTGAAAAAAAAAAATATGAAGAGCAGTTATCATTTTGAACAGCTGGGCCTTGTGCTCAACTTACAGGGTCGCCACGGAGGGTCGCAGTTTTAATTCTCCCGTGATCAGGAAATAATATACGAGCTATGATCGTTGTCAATGAGCATGGACACTGGGCCTAAAAGGGAGGGGGAGGGGGGGAGGCATTAACCCATCGATACAGTCTAGATTTCTGAATCAGGTTCTTGGGCATTGCTAAATCAAAGTGTTTTGTATATGTAGCTGTGTTGTGATTGCAGCTTATGAAGAAAAGAGACACAGGCGTCTGTGGTGTAGCTGCAAAGTGCTTCTATGTCGAAAGCAAGAGATCTGGCTTTGATTCCGTAGAAGAGAGAATTTTCGTTGGATATCTCAGTCTAGGGTGTTGGGATGTTTGGCTGGAATGTTGTATCCCTCTCAGCCCGGGTTGGCCATGACAGAATATTATATGAGTTAGAGAAAACAACAGCATTTCAAAGAGGTTTTATACGTAGTACAAATATAACCTATATGTAGCGTCTTCCTCAGTTATCAGTCCTTACTGTTTGTTGTTTACTGTTCGTCCAATTCATCCACTGAACTCCGGGGGATTTTGTGACCAGGGGAAAAAATGATGAAAAAGGGGTTCAAGGCCATAGTGTAACACTGACAAACACACAACACACACACACACACACACACACACACACACAAACACTCACACAAACACACAACCAGATATATTTCTAACTCCCTTCTTTCCTATCAACCCCCACCCCCAACCCCGTCTCTCTCTCTCTCTCTCTCTCTCTCTCTCTCTCTCTCTCTACGTGTGTATCTATCTCTCGGTCTTTAACCACCCCACCCCTCTCTCTCCCTCTCTATCCCCTTGTAACCTTTCTCTCCGTTCCATTTGCACGTAATATAACTACAGTCATTATTTCTAAAATTTGTGGTTCACCAGTGACCCCTTTCTGTCCCCCCACAAGCGCTGATACAAAGAGGTGACATAACCCCAACTCAACCCTCCTCATCACGTTGCAAAATTGTGCCTGGCAGTTTAAATCCCCAGATTTATGCCTCATGTTGCCCTTTACAAAAATAGTTTGTAGAGCGCTGTATTTATGTGAGTGCTCGTTGATAATGTTAACTTGAATATGTTCCCATAAATCCTTCATGTTGTGCTCAACGCCAGCATAGTACGACAGTGACAAGAGCAGGAGCATCGCCAGGAGCATCGCTACACAGGTCGGCAACCAAGATGGTCGCTTTTTGGAAAACCACGCTAACTTGTTTGCTAACAATGCTGTGTCTTTTTGTGCAGTCCCATGCTTGGAATGAAAGGGTGAGTGGCCACTGTATGGTGGTATTGAATCCTCGTTCAATTGCAAGATTTGCAATACATTATTAAATACACTATTATTGTTTTTATCACTATTGATTTTGTCATTACTGTAGAACATGTATTATTATTACATTACCAGTGGTTATTATCATCTTCACTACTATTGCTAGGTGCTGCTACTGCTGCTGCTGCTGCTGCTAAT